CCATGGGCTGTCATCCCGAGATAAAATGAGATGAATAAGTTGAGATCTCGAGAAAAGAACCACATTTACTCATCATCACAAGAAACTGAGTAAAATCAAAGGTAAGGACATATGTCCGTTCAGGGCTTCTGTACCGTATAAACATTACTTCAATCAACATCTAACTGGTCATTGTATAGGGGTTTTCACACTGCAGGAACTTTTCCATAGTTCTAGGAACTATTGGAACCATCCCTCCTTTTTATTGATACCACACTACAGAAACTATTAACTATTTTAGTTTATAGCACCTTGTTTAGAGGACTTATTTTAAGCTCCTGCTTCAGATGCTGCACAGAAAAAAAAAAGTCCCCACAGTTTGTAGTTCTCAGTGAACTTCCTATTCGATAGTTCCTCCCCAAATCTTCCCCAGAACAGTTTGGTCTGAAAACACCTTATGTTTTTCAGATTTCTCTTCGTTTTATTCCTTCTCTTTTTAAGCTTCTCAAAATCCTTCAAATGCAAAAATCCTGGAGTGAAAAATAACAGTCAACATTAGGCCAAACATGTGTGACGAGATGTCTCGTTCAAAAAGGTCACAAGCCAAAACTTTAACAAAACACAGATACAGAGCATTATAGTGGGCTTGATTTTAAAGCATGTTTAGCCGAATTATGTTTTCAAATTGGAACATATATCTAGAACTAAGGGTGAATGAACAATTTGTTTTGGTGAGGCCGATCCTACGAACTATTCTTCAGCTTTGATGAGATGACACACGTTTGGGTTTTAGGTATGGTTTCCGGAGTCCGCCTCACCTGGAGCTAAAAGCACGGCCTAAACTGGGAGAGAGGGAGGTCACTCTGGTTCATGTGACGGACTGGATTGAGAAGAAACTGGACCAGGAGTTTCAGGTAGGAACTAAAAAAAATGAGGAAGCTGTGTATTTCAATTATGTCATGAAGACAATTTCTTTACATTAACAACAAAAGGAGGTGTATGGTTAAAAAGTGCAGAACTGAAAATGACTTGAAGACCAAGAGACTCCCCCTTCCCAGATGTTAACGGACAAGAATTTAAGTCATAAACGAAGATTCATTTATGGCTGCCCCCCTACATGCACTTCAAAGCAGTGTGCCTGTGGCTTCACCACCCCTCATATATCCATCCACAGTAATGATACGCCTGCTTCCAGATAACCACCCTGAGGCTCACCTGAAAACTACTGTGTCCCTGTCAGCTCTCCCACACAGCAACATTTATCCCTGCCTGACTACACTGGGGGGGTTATTATTATGTGCACCCCCCCCCCCCCCAGTAAAATATAGTGCTGCTGTGCAATGTGTTGTCATTTGTGAGTTAGTGTTTACATGTGGATTTGAACAAAAGGCCTCAGTGGTTTGCAGACACAACATGTTGCAGGGCTCCATGTGCAGAGGGGGATGGATTTTAGGATCTTTTACAAACCAGTGTCAAAAAAAGTTTGGATGTTGTTAAACTGATTCTGATTCTGATTCTAGAATCAGAATCAGATAATATTGAAAACATATGCACAAAAACAACAAATCAAATGTTGAAACTTAAGATATTTTATTGCTGCTGGAAGCTTATACGCCCATTTTGAGGATAAGTACAGCAGCATGTTTAAAGAAAAGTAAGATAGACTGCGAAAGTTGTGAAATAAAACAACTGGTGGAACATCTGAATTATTAGGCACAATCGGCAAAGGGTTATTTACGGGGTATAAAAAAAGAAAATCCCAGATAGGCTGAGTCTTTCTGGAGTAAGGACAGGGAGGGGTTCCCCACTCTGTGAAAGACCGTGATGGCAAACTGAGCAACAGTCTTTAGGAAAGGCCAAGCTTATTTCAGCAAGAACATTCTGCATGCCTTACAACAAGAGGCTGGTTGATAAACCGGCCTGCTTGCAGCCGCAACTTGTCACCTATAAAAAATTATTTGGAGCATTATGAAACATAAACCATGACAAAGGAGACCCCCAACTGTTCAGCAGCAGAAATCCCACATCCAACAGGAATGAGGAAAACATTCCTAGTTTGAAATGATAGAAACTGGTCTCCTCAGATCCCAAACGCTGAGTTACAGGGTTTGGTTAAAATAGGAGGTGATGCTACAGAGTGGTAAAAATGACTCTGTCACAACTTTCTTTTGAGATGTGTAGATGGCAGTAAATACAAAATGTGCTTCAATGTTCCAAAAATTAACATTTTCTGTTTCAATGTTTTGAAAATCGTCACATTCTGTTTCCATTTACAATTTAGTGTCCAAACTTCTCCGAATGCAACATTGTGAACAGATGTAACATCATGTCACTGTCCTTTATTTGTATTTATTTTTGTAACACACTCAAATAATATCCAGTCTTTTCAATTTCCGTTTCCTCCCCTTTATTGATCCTTGAAATGAAGACTTAGTTCCTCACTGTGCTTGTCCTCCCACAGAAAATATTTGTGATGCCAAACATGGATGACATCTGGCTACCCATAATGCACTCTGCCATGGACACGCGCTCAAATGCCAATTTGCTTACTGTGACAGACGATACCTTGAAGGACCCAGACCCCGAGGACTCTGAGGTCTCGGACATGTGAAGTTTTTAATGACGGGACATGTTATCGCCATGGCAATAGGACAGACTCCTACGAGGTTGATGCACCAGCCTGTGGCGAATCCTGATGTGCATAACAAAACTGGAGGTGTCAGCGAGCGTGTTCATTTTTTTGAAAATGGAAGAGAAACGTGACTCCTTCATTGTCATACAATCACACAGAGCTGTCTGTGTGACGTCAAACATTTTGCTTTGTTTTCCAACGACGTACATACATGGAGCATGTCGAGACTGTTTAACAAAAGGTGTGTGTTGGTGGATCGACAAATAGCCATCAAATTCAACCAGAAGAACCATAATACCTGTGATGTACAGCTGCACCAAACTATGGAGGTTACAGTGTCAGCTGTTAGTGCAGCCTTTCTTATTGGAGTCGTTGCTAAAACTCTGGGATGACTTTGAGGCTACTAATGAGATCAGGTATGAATCTGCTGGAAGCCCCTGCATCGACTGATACGATCTCACAGGGATACCAAGACTCATTCGCCCCACCCCCCACCCCCATCCACACTGCTGCCTGTGCCAGCCGCCTTTATGCAAACACAACAGCGAAGTGTCCATCGCAGACACATGGTCAGTTTAAATCCACTACAGACACTGATCAAAACACACAACCTGTGTGCTTTGCATAGTGTGATTGGGTTTACATCCAACACTGACCGTAAAGGGGTGAGAAGATAAATAACATATCTGCATACACAGCAGCTCAACCTTGCCTAGGTCTGATGAATGTATAAACAGGATCGCAGCTCCCGAAGCTGTGCAAAACTACAGCTCATTCACTGACGACGTGCTTCTACGCAACACGCTTCGACTTTTCTTTTTGTGTCATATTCAGAGTCTAGCAAAAGTAATAATTGTACCTTTTTTTTTAATTGCCAAAGCAATCTTTCAGTCTTGTTTGAAGGCTTTTTAATGAGGTAAAACGGTGACAAATAAGCAATCGGTTAATTATCTTGTGTTCTGTGTTAGCAAGTATGGATTGTTGTAGCTGAATTTTCAAAATAAGAGGTATTTTCAGCAGGGAGTGACTATTGCTTTGGAGACATGGTAAGAAAAAAGTGGGAGACACACTTCCTGTTTGATTTGAACAATACTGGAGATTAGCCATATGATTTAATGTTGTTGACAGACATCCAGCTAATGAATGCTTGTTTTTGCAGAATTATTTGATTCCATGTTCTTTCTGTACTGTACACCTATAACCCCCCCCCCCTAAAAAAAAAACAGCTATAGTTATCTGCCAAGACACCTGGCTGCTTTAAAGGCGACTATTATTTGATGTTTTGCGTTCAAATGTGTGTGTTGGCAAAGTGTATGAGGCAGAAAGTGCCTTTAAAAATAATTAAACATTCCTCCATAGTGCGCGCCACATCTGTTGCATCAGTTTAGGAAAGAGAGAAAGGTGTTGTGCCATTAGTCTGTCGAAGACATGCCCTGTTTTCTCAAGGTATCGGTGTTGTTCATTTGCACAGTGATGAAAATATGAAACATTGCTGTTGTGTTCAGTGATGTCACAGAATGTTTATGGTTCTGATCATTGTGGATCAATAAAACCTTTTGCTTGAAAATAATCATGCTGGTTTGTGTGTGGTCATAAAAGGGTCCCTTAGAGCAGTGGTTCCCAAAGTTGGGGTCGGGACTCACTGGGGGGGGGTCGCAAGATACTGAGAAGGGGGTCGTGAGAATTCTTCCAAACAAATCAAAAATCACTTAAAATTGCCTGTTTTACCCATTATTGTCAAAACATTAAAAAAAAAAAAAAAAGATCGAGATTAATTCTGCTACCATTATGAAATTAATAATATTACAGTGTTCAGGCTGTTCTTTTGTGTCGTTCTCATTACAGTGTTTGGATCGTGGACCCGGCTGTGCACAAAGGTAAATGTTTTAACCACCTCCATGGACACAGTGGGTCCCCAGTCTCTAACACCTTATTGTCAAAGGTCATGGGCTGAAAAGTTTGAGACTCCCTTCCTTAGAAAGTATCCATACCTGCACGTCCGATTTCTTAACATCATGTTTATGCTACAACATGAAAAAAAAATCTTCTTTATGAATTTAAGGAACACGGCAGTTGCGTAGCAGGGGTGAAAAATATTTATCATTAGATGCCTAAAAACCAAAGACACCACACATCACCTTTGGAATCTCTCAAGTTTCTACTACGTAAATGTATATTTCTGAACTATATTTAAATATTGTTTCTTGCTTTAAAAGAGAGACTTGGGAAAATTGCCAAGAAACTCCAGTTATGACAAGACATGCTCTTGCACTACTTTTGACCTTTGTGAATGACCACAGTGAAGGACATTCAGGTTGAAAGTGCAGTGCCTAAAAACAGTTTACCAAAACAGATAAAGTCAGATCAATTGAAAGGACAACAACTGTACGAGTGTGAAAAAAATGTTTTATTGATAATGGACATTTTTATTCTTTCCATGAATTACAAATAAAATATACACTTTGGTTTAAAACACACCGTTTATACACCTCATCACTTACAGTCAGATGTCCGTTTCTTGAGGTCCGATATCTGCAGATGAAAGAGCTTTGATTTAGTTCAGTTATTTAGAAGATTAAAATTTAAAAAAATACGCAAACATGAGTTATGTCAGATATTTTTAAATGTCGTCAATGTTGAATCAGAAGTCTAACGCATTATAATCATCATTCATAACTGTTAAAAGTCCCTCCTATCCTCTCTCTGCATGATACTTACAATGGTGCTACTCAGAGGATCCATTAACACCAACATCCATTTCCTGCAAATGTAAAATGTCTGAGTGAATCATAATCGACCCACAAACGACAAATTTAAACTCTACGTTCAAGTCAGAATGTATATGTTGACTTCATTTTTATATCAGAAGTCTAACGCAAAAAATCATCATTCGTGAACCACAAAATAATAAGATATATCAAAAATACTCACGTCCAGGGGAGGCCTGAGCCGACCATCTGCCCACGTGTAGTGGTGCAATCACCTCACAAACACCGCATCCGACCTGCGAGCATCACCTGATGATGTACCTGATGATAGTAAGACATACAGTTAGTCAGAGCATAATTACTGATTCAATTTACCATTTGATGCTTTACAAAATCAAATAAAACACAAAGTTACCTCCACACTCCCAAGCTGCAGCGGCCTTCACGATACTCCAAAATGCATACTAATAAAAAAATATATATAGTTCAAGCTTCATCTATGTATTACAATAGTGAAAGCTCAAAAAGCACACTAAAACATTTCTCCCAGATATGTTAAATACAATCTCTGCTATTCTAGCTAGCGCGCACATGCTTCTCGCAGTAGGAGGACATCTGTAGTAGAAGACCACCGGAAGTACTTCTTTATAACATATCCTGTGTCTGTGGGCCTTTTCTCATTGGCTCACACTGACGCTGCATTCACGTAGTATCAAAATAAATTGAAAATGTATTTCTGACAGTAAAACCAGAACAACGTCTGTTAAAGCTGATGAAAATATTTGCTTCCTGACTTGCCGAGTTGACATAATTGTCATCTTATCACACGGTTTATTTCAATTATTTTTTTTATTATTTCTAAATATTTTTGTTAAGTTAAAATGATTGAATACTAATTTGTTCAAGGATTTGACAATAAGTTGCTGTTCAAGCAGAGTCACCAACTTCGGTTTTGAAGAATACTTTGAAATGAATTATCTTTTAATTCAGTCCATGTCTGTTCAACATTATGACTGAATCTCGCGATGCGCCGCCGAAGTCGGAGGAACAACTGCAAAGTTTTGCAACTCCGAGCACCTGAGCAGTACGTGAATGCAACGTCAGTCTACTTTTCCCCCTCCTCCACTCGTGTGGATATCCACCCGAAAGTCCAACCCCCACGGTTTTCATTTCAGGAAGAAGCGGATCTAACGTTGTACCCACCACAGCCGCCACTGACACAGTGTGTTAAACGCCACAACGTTCATCACAATTGATTTCGATATATATAGAGTTGTGAGCGGAATCGCGTTTTCTATGTAGTCGACGGCCGTCCGGACCAGCTGTCTATCCCGGTTTGAGACCAGAGAATATGGACTGGACGGTGACGAGTCGGACCCGGCTGTGGTGCATTTTGGTGTTGCTTTGCTGCGCTGGTCTCCCACAAAAGGTAAGAGGGGCTAACTGGATAAGCTAGCTTTAGTTTGATGACATTGGCCTGGGTCCCTACACTTCACTAAAGGTTACTCTGGCATTCAGCTCGTCTTTTATTACAGCGTACCAAAACAAACATCAGTCTTTAATGTGAAGCATGCTGCGTGCTGTCTTCACATGTCAGCAGTAAGCTAACAACGCTAACGTTAGCTAGTCAACTGAAAGTATACATATACATCATAAACTCAATTATTAACCTAATAATAAAAACCTAACAATGGTTTATCAGGGCTGTCACCATACCAGCATCGTAACCTTCAATATGGTTCGTTGCCACGGCAACAAAAATAGAAGTCCTAGGCACACAATATCAGAAACTTTATTGTTTTCACTTATCTAACATTTCAAGCAAACGCCAAAAAAAACAACATATTTGTGCAATTTGGATAGTGTGTAGGCATTTCTTTGGCTGTTTAGGTGGACACATTCCTCTCCAAAGCACTTTTCTTTTTCAAGTGTGTTTTTCTGGAAACATTTTGACAACAACTAATTTCATTTTCAATCAGCACAACTGCACCAACCAAGAAAACCTGTCTTCATATCTTTGAGATCACATTGTCACCTTACTGTTAAGAGACCTTTAGTAGTTGAATTTCTCCTTTCCTAAAACATCTGTAAAGGACTGTTCTGATACGAATAAGCTTTGCTCCATGATTCTTTTACCCTTTAAACCTCCCTTTAAAGTAGTCCTATTTGAGAATTACAACATTTTCAAAGTGCCTTTGTTTTGACTGGTGATGCTTGCTGAACATATTAAGAAGGATTATAAAATCAGTAATGTACAGTTTCCCCTTTTTTTCACTTAAAAATGGCTTGTGAGGTACTGTACAAAATATGAACCACACCATAATACAAACAGGTCATTGTGTTGATATTGGTTTTAAGTTATGCTGATATTTCTTCGTCTTGCATCTTAACTCATCATTGTTCTTTTCAATAATCAACACAAGTCCTTTTCTCACATGAACAGCAGGCTGCAAAATAATTATTTATTATGTCTGGGCAGGGCCGCTAGGGATTTATGTGTTGGTGAAATTCTAGATTTTGATATTGGGCTCTCCAATAGATGATGTTAGAGATTCAAATCAGAGAGAAAATAGTTCTTACAGTAGAAAAACAGAGGGCTTGAAGTTTAAAGGTTGATTTCTACTGGTGCAGCTGACTTTTAAAAGCCTCCCCTCCAGTTGAAGTATATCTCAGGACATTTTATTTATTAGGATGGTTATTTATGATGATTATTTGTGCTTTACTTGATTCAATCAGGCACAACCTAAACCAGGCCAGTATACAATAACTACAGAATACATACAGTCCTGAAGAAACACAAACAGTATGACTGAAATGTTCCCAAATAGAAATCTGTTCAGGATCCATTGTAACCCAACTTAAATCTTAACAAGGCAAATTGTAAGCAGAGAATGGATGCAGTGGTTTTGGCAGCTGGCACAAAGGAGGACTGACTGACCCACTAAAACTGAACCAGATGTCTAGAAAGTCTCAAAGACGATCGGTTACCTACCAGGCTAGTTGAGCACTTAAAGCTAAGCAGCAGATTACAGTAGCATAATAATAATCCCCTATCAGGTTCTTCTTTTATCCTATCAGACAGTCTGCTGGAGGAATTAATTAACGATCATAAACTAGCCAGATTTATACATAGGTAGGTGTTTGGGATGTAACGATACTCAAATCACGATATCACGATACTGGGTTCATGATGCGAGTGCTATTTTTTTACGGTTTTCTAATATTTATTAAGATATAAGATTTAAGTCAATTTATTTAAAGATATGTTTCTTTTACTTCAATTTGCTGACCAAAAATGCAAAATATCCTGTTTCTTATATTTCTTTATAAATAGAAGTAATTTAATTTATATATTGAAAAGTTACAAATATATAGTAGTTTTCCTTAATGTTAAAAGGACACTGATAATCACTTATATAAAGAACTTTTTAAAAATACACTAAACAACAATTCTGCTTCAGCGATATCTGCGCTCCCCTCTTCTTCAGTGACTGGTGTCAAATAAGAGAATCCAAAATCAATAGGTAGCCCCCTCTGCTGGTTAAAACGGAGTATAGAAATATATTTTTTTGTCACATTGATTTAAATTGTTTGTATGGCTTTTTTCTTTGTATTGTAAGGGAATTATAACCTCTCTAGTTTTTGTGAATGAATGAGAGATGGATTCAAATAAAGGTGAAACAAAGTTTAACATCATGTTTCCTTACAGTCTCCTGTCCAGATATTTTTAACAACCAGCAGAATTTCCCTTGTAAGGAGGCTGTGTTGAGCTGTTTCAGTCGCTATCACTGTTTGTTTTTACAGACTCTCCTTCTCACATCATGTTCATGCCTCACTTCACACATCTGCTGGCCCGGCTTCGATAACAACACCTAAATATGGACTTTGTCTCTGTGACTATATTTAATTTTTTGGCTTATCATTTAGCTTGGACTTAACCGGTCTGATTTTGCTTAAAAGAGAAAACGAGTTGTGATCTCACACTATCTTATCACAGCAGTAGATTGTCTGTGCTGTGGCCGAGTGTGCCTGAGCGAGGGCCAACATGTGACATCCTCCACACTGAAGCAACACCACGCAGAGAGCAGCTGATAGACGCTGTTGACAAGGAAAACGTTTTCTCCTGCTCTCCCATGTAGTGTTATAGAATATCTCCCATATTGTGTGAGGCCGTAAAGGAAATCAAAGATCCATAACCCTAAGTCAACAGCCCTGAGAGGAAACCTTTAATGACTACTTTTATGAAGGATAAATAAAACTGATGGATCATTAAGTGTTTTTTAACGCTGTGCAGCTTACATTTCCTCACGCACAGAAAGAGGTGTCTCACTTCAAATGCCTTGAATGTGCTTTTGTGCGACACTTATCCTAACAAGTCACCAGGTGTGAGATACGTAAGTTCCTGTGTTGTGTTTTTCTGCACCCTTGCAAGCTTCAGACTGCTTATTGCTGCAGACCAACTTTTAAGGAGTGTTACACTTCCATAGAGAGAGAAGTAGCAACCGCTGGTTAAATGCAGAATAAGTACATCGCAGTGTTTTACATAGAAGATATACAAGTAGTAGTAGAAGTACTACACTGAGACTTTTTAGGGCATGCAGGATGACTTTGCTTAATCACCGTATGATTGGTTTCCTGTTGTCAAAAAAATAAATTTTATAAGCGACACTGCAAACCACAGCTTCCCATCACACGATTAAATACCTTTCCTGTATTTAACTACGTTTGACAAATGCTTCCTTTTCATCAACAATTCTCATCATCTCAATTCAGATTCATACAGAATACAGTTTCTTTGCTAATATTGTGTGTTTGGACAACCTGCTGCTAAAACGCCACAATTTCCCAGGTTGGGATCAATAAAGTAATTCTATTCTATTCTATTCTATATGACTTCATAAAAGATGAGTGTATGCAGTCAGATAATCTGTGAAGTCTTCCGTCTTCCCTGCTACCCGACAATGAATCCTAACTTCAAGCAGTTAAAAATGACTGTGAAAATCTGGATTTTTCCAGATTTCCTTTGACGAACCTGCTCATCTGCAGCATGTGCAAGCATACAGGCTGAGCCATGTAGCTTGATGATATCTTGTTTTTTTTTTTTTTAAAAAGACCGTCCTGGGCTGGCTTTATTTTGCAGAAGTGTTGTGCTCTTACATTTTAGTTTACAGAAGGAGAAATCACAAATAACACCAAAAACTGACAGAAGTAGTGTTTGATGCAAAACTCAGAAGGGAACAGACTTGAAGCTCTGACAGATCTTGCAGAATAACTCGAAAACTTTTGATATTTTCCATTTTATTTCCTTTACTCCTGTGTGAGGTGAGTTGTCTCCTTCATGTGTTAGCTGTTGCTCCTATGAAGAGGCTGTCTGTGCGTTAAAACAACTTTGCCTAGCTGCTCAAGTTTAAGCCCTAACTCCCATAACTATTGATTTCCTCTGTAATACTCGACCGTCTTGATGAGAGCGTCTGACACAGGGTCTGTAATACAAGGGCACTTCTGAAATGCTTGTGTGTGCTCTGTGGGAAAGCTGCCAATAACATGCTGTCCTGAGTTCAGGTTGGTCTGCCGTGCAAGAGGCTGTGAAGAAGCACAGTGGCACTCCAGCCGGCTCCTGTCACTGATACCATGAGCATTTTCGTCCTCGTCCCCTTTAAGCCGAGCCTGTCCTCGTTGAAGAAGAAAAAGTGAAGACCTCCGAACTTGCCAAGACTTTGGCTTCGCCCAGTTCTGTAGTATTATGTAACTCCCTTATGCAACAACCTTACATTTCTGCATTACACACAGAATGAGAGAATGCCCCGATATTTAAGTCTCCTCGAGAACAGCCAGATATTGTTATCCAGATGTTTTCTGAAACATATTTAACAGTTGTTGGAAATCCTGGGTCCAACAGCCGATATACTAGCACACAAACAGATGGTAAGAGAGTCATTTGTTTGCGAAACCAAGAGCTGTGATGGAGATAACAACCGGGGCCCCCCAAAAAAAACAAGTCGGTTATGATTCTCCCAGAACAGTTGTTTGATGCTCGTGAGTTTGCAACCCAGTGGGAACAGTCACAGGTGCAAAATATTGACACAACTGCTCATATAGGATGTGAGACAACAGCAGAGGATCGGTAGGCAAATGTGGATGGACTCAGTTTCATTCTGTAGATTCTATGAAACTTTCGGTCAAAGGGTTTATTGACATTGGTTTCTAAACGTCATTTATGACATTATAGTATTTTCCTTTTTTATATTTAAAGCTGATGAACACAAATGGGAAATAAAAACATCCACTTCTCAGATTGCTCTACATCTGCCATTTTATGGTGTTGGTTTGGTAAGGAAGTGAAAGCTGAGTGACCCAGAGGAAACTCCCAGAGTGACTCGGTGTTGTTGGTTGGCTCTCCACAGCACACACACACACACACAACAGGGTCTAACATAATGGCTCTGGTGGTTTCTTTGTGCCTGACTGTAAGAGCTCTTCAGCCCACCTTCCTTATCTCCCTGAAAGTGGCTAGGTGCTCCGAAGAGTGTTTTAGTAACGATAAAGATTGGTAATCTGTATTATATGCAGGGGCTATTTGCACTGTCCCCAGGGACTCGTTAAGGGGGGATTATTCAGACACTATGATCAATACTGCTGTGGCTCAGCAGGACTGTCTCAGCTGCTCTGCCTTTCAAAGATCCCTTTAGTGGAGTTGTCACAATACCAGGTATTTACACCTTGATACAATTCTAGTAAAATCACAGGATGTGGATACCGGTTTCCGCATGGCAACAAAAATCTAAACCATAGTCACCTGATTCCCTTTCACACCTTATGAGTTGTACAAATAAGTTGGCCACGTTTGCTAATGAAACATCACTAACTTATTTGAAAAAATGTAGACAGTGGTCTGGGGAAGCTGGAAGATTCTGGTTAACAATATGACTGAAGATCTGAGGGTTTTTTAAACTTTGGGACTTTTGGATTGATCATAAAAAAACATGTGGTATTGAGAAATATGGAAGAATTGAAACATTTGACCACCTCACCATGTTGTAAAGATGACAGGTTTAAGCTTTTCCAGCCTCTCGTGTTTACTGCTTGACTATAATCTAAATGGAGAATCACCTTTTTATTTAAGAAAACAGACCGATCTGACTCATTCCTGACTGCTCCTCCTCCCGAACATTGGTGCCAAACTCCAAAAGCAACCCACGGCTTGGTTATCAAGGGTGGCGTTTTTTGAATTCCACAGTGAGTGGGTGGAGCATACATCAACCACATTGCTGTTAATTCAGACATAAGCCAAGTCATGAGGCTGGGTCACTGAGCTGCTGCTGTGGTTATATGTTCTATTGTTTTACTCTGGATTGAAGATGATGGGGTAGATGCAAGTTCAAGGAAATTTGGCTTCTGGATTGGGAAATACAGGAAATGGTTGGCAGGGGCAACTTTAATTTTAAGGCAATTTGTAAGATATGCAGACAAAAGCTTTTAGACTTGGAAATCAGAGACCTTAAGTCCCACATGCAATCCAAAAAGCATACACACTAAGTGATGCACAAATGGAATTGTTATTATTGCTGGTTATTAAAGAGGCTTAAATTTGTTTTTTAGAAAGTGTGCAACAGCCCCACAATGAATCACTTCAAGTTTGCCACACAGAGTTGAATTCAAAGGGTTTGGAAAGAAGGTTTTAATTACAGCATGTCAACCCACTATTTGTCTTTACTTTTAACTCGGCTCAATCTAAAGTGGTTTTACAAATCAAGCTAACCTCGTAAGGTACGCTTAGGCTGTTAGCATGACTTCCTCACACGTGCTCTGCAGCCCCATGGCCCATCTGTTTACCTTCCTCCATGTTGCAGCCCTCGCCTCCGGCTGTTACTTTGAACCCTCCCAGAGCTCATCCAGCAACCTGCCCTCTGTTACCTATCCAGACAGCCCCCTCCTAGTTTGATCTTCAGCTGTCATTGAAAGGTATTGATTAGTCGTTTATTGATTTGTAAGGCGGGCCAAACTGGCACACTCCCTGGGACAAACGATCCGCCTCGCCCCCCCCCCCCTCCCCCACTTCAAGCAAAATGCTAACTACACCTGGGACAGCCTGGAGATGATGAAAAGGAAGACATCTATTTCCCAATCAATGGATCATCTTGTGCCAGATTTCACCACATCAGTGCATGAATGATGTCATTAGCATAGTGTAGTTTCAACAAGTTAATCATTCAGTGACTGAATGTCGTTACTCACAACCTCAACGCAAGACCATGTTTTAATCTAAACCGGGGGATCAAGTGGGAGCATGTATGCTCACACACTCCTCCCTGCTAATGTCAGAGTTTAATACAACATGACTAGGATTCAAATGCATGAAAAATAAGTAGAGAGGAGGGATGTCGGTTGCACCTGTTCACCTTTATTCTTTTTTGTTTTGTGTGTTTCTGTAGGGCTTTTGCAGTGCCAGCACAGTTTCCCTCCCTGAAAGTCTTCTCTTTGTGTCCACCTTGGATGGAAACCTGCACGCTGTCAGCAAGAAGTCCGGCTCAATCAAATGGACTCTGAAAGAAGGTACGAGCAGAGTTCAGCACAACAAGGCCCAGCTGATAATTTAGGTTTTTATTCATGAAACACCACACTTCTTAAAGATGATATCCCATTCCCTTTCTTATCACGTCAAAGTGGTTTATAGCTGCTACAGCTTCTACGAGTTAATGTATGACACAAAGGTAAGACAACACAAAGATTCAAATGACCGTAAATGTTGAGCCGACTGGGCTCCACAGGTGAAGTGACATTTACCTCTTATGACATGGTGTAAGCAGAGGAGTCTGGTTTCATCCATTTGAAGACACAACTGGTTGTTAAAGGTTATCCACATCAACAAAATCTCCACCACTTAATTTAAATGCAACTCATATTCTTAAATGTATATCTAAATCTGTGAATTATTGGTGTATGCTTTATTCTCACAAACATTAATCAAAAAGGCCTGCACCATATGACTTGAAGATCTCTTCTTGTAACTCTGATCATTTGAAAGCTTCAATGAATTTGACCCAAACATACTGCGAGAGTTATTTGAATTATGAACACTTAGACTTAGAGGAAATGTGTTTTGTACTCAAGCTGAGGAAAACGCTGTGAGATGTTCTACTCGGCAGGGAAAGGAGGGTAATTATTAACCAAGAGAGGGGCAAATATAGCCTCTAATCAAGGTCAGAGTGGGCAAGGGTAAGCTGCTCTGCTGCAGTGTCACCTGCACACACAGCTTGCACTCTGGTCTCCATGGTATTATGGGCTCTATACATTAGAGAGGAACATTCAATAAGACGCACGGGCGGGCTCTTAGAAACGTTTAGAGAGTAGTTTACCTGTCATAAAGGAAAGTTTACCGCCGCTTTAAGGATCCCTGTGTTTTTATGACAAACTGAAAGTACTTTGGTTTGTACCTATGAGTCCCGGCTTGTGCCACTCTTTAATAATCAGAAGTAGAGGCTGCTACCTCCGCATCATCTGTTTTTCTGGAAAAAGCTGTTGAATATAAATCTGACCAGTTCTGTAGCAGACTCCACACACACACACACACACACACACACACACACACACACACACACACACACACACACACACACACACACACACACACACACACACACACACACACACCCCTCCTGTTGTTGTTGTGCTTCAGTCAAGCAATCATACACCCACATTCTGAGGGGGAGGCGGAAATCTTTTCCCTGGACCAAACGAGACAGCTCAGCCTACATGTGTCCTCCTCTCACTGTTTGCAACACAGAGAACTATTGTTCTCAAAGTAAATTACACATAAAGTTGTTTAACCACCTTCAGGTAATCCGAGGTCTCGCCCCCCCTTACTACTGTTGACCCCTTTGGCCACCTCCACGGGATCAACGCCATCTGCTCCACGCCCTGTGTGTTCACACTGCAGGGAGGTGCATGTTTGTCTAGTAGTAATGTCGGCTCTCTACTAAATTAGCTTCCTACTTCAATACTTGCTATGTTTCAACATGCAGGTACTTTTAAAATGGACCAATATTTGAAAGGCATGTACCTCATTGGTCGACAACACAAGAAGAATATAACTCCAAAGAAGACATGACATTTAATGTGCTGTATCATGTCCTTTAACTGAAGCAAGTTTCAAGGTTTTTTTTTTTCCCTGACAATTTTCAACCCAACAAATCTATTTATATCCAGTTTTTTAAATGGAGCTTATAGCTGTCTAGAGAGAAGGAAAATGACTGTTTGCTATTGAATAATAATGAATCTGGCTAGATTTAGTGCATGTATCTGATTCTTGATATGCAAACATATTTTCCAACTTACTTTGTCAGATAATGAAAATGCACATTTCCTCTGTCTTTGCATTTTCCATTCCCCAAAACATGAGATCAGGCTTACTTTTATTTTGGGCCATTGGCAGATGTAGACCTCAGATGAAATGTTTTTAATAGGTATGCATAGAGGCATCGGTTCAACACTTGGTATTGGGCGATATTGGACCTGTTGACAGACATCGGCAAATAAAGTGACATGAACCAATGTCAGTAGCCGATGTTTATTTGTTGTGCCAAATCATGCGGGCATCTAGTACACCCAACTACTGAGTCAATTGTATGGGCAGAGGAAGTCACATGTTGAACAAACTTTGACTTGTTTTCATGTCAAACATGAGTGAAAATGTTGGCATTGTGAGAGTCTTATACCAAAAGAAGTCATGAAACAAACATCAGCATTGGAATCGGCCCTGATTTTCCCAATCGGTGCATCTCTAGTTTTCAAATATGGACACATTCACTGGGCAAATGAATAAAACAACTTTAATTTTATTAACCAGTACATGTAAAACAAGCCATTTTCTTTAAGGTAACCACCACACCATACTGTAGCACAGAGTCTAGTGAATGGCATTACGTCTTAATAATGATCAACAGCTTGCGCCACAGTAGATGAATTAAAGCGTAATCTTATCAGCAGGAATGATCACTCAAAACTAAACCAAATATTGACTTTGTCAGTTCATACAAATTATGTGCCAATGTGATCATGCACTTTGGATTAACTGTTAGAGAACTCGTCAGGTAGTTCGTGTGACATGAAGGAACCTTTAAGTAAACGCACTTAACACAACACAAAATCCCTAGAAGCCTATCAGGGGAAACGGACAACATAGCCCAGTTTACTCAACCATTGGATTTCTGCCATTTATCGTCAATGTTTAGATACAAGTCACATCTTTTTGTATTGAACCAGGATAACAGTAAACGGCAGCCTGGTTCAAATCCCTGCACTGATCAGGTCATTAGAGGAATATTTGGTATCAAAGAGGATCACAATGAGGATGGTATTTTTTTTACGAGCTCATTATATTTCATTCTTCTTTTCCCAGCTTTGACGCTACATGTTTGGCATATGCCCAAAAAGTGTGTTTGCAGACATAACTGTTTACTTTTTATCTTTGCCCCCCCCACCCTAACCCCGAGGAAATTCTTCTCCTTTTGGACTTTGTGTTTTGTGTGGATGAATGTCACTGATGTTCATGTCATGCACTTACTCAACACCTGTTGAGGCTGTTCATTGTTCGCTAATGTTCTTGTCTTACCTGAATTGCATCTTTTCTCCTCTTCCCTCCTCACAGATCCAGTTCTTCAGGTCCCCACACATGTTGCAGAGTACGTACCATTGAGTTATTTTCTGCATGGGTGTATAAATCCCAGTGTACTGCACCTGTCTGCAACAAAAGATGCTGAATGCAAAAAGATGTGCTAACCTGTTGAGCTTGTCTTATCTGTCACTCATTCTAATAACTTTATTATATAGACATTATCTGTCTTTTACTTGTCTTGAGATGTGATGCATCTTCTTAAATCTGTACTCTAGACCGGCTTTTCTGCCCGATCCCAACGATGGCAGTCTCTACTCTCTGGGAGGGAAGAACAAAGAAGGCCTCACAGTAAGAGGAAATTCTTTTTTATCACAAAACCATAATCTCAAACCGTTAGTATACATGCGTTATTCACTTCCCTCTTTTATGGAAAAACCTCTCACCCCATATGTGTGTATATATAGTAAGTCATGCTGATATTAAATGCACCTTCATTCTGAGGTTGCAGCTGTGATGGTGCATGCATGAAGTTCCCCATGCACGTGTTGTCGTCGTACGTAAAGCATGTTTTGATTGTATAATGTTTCATTCATTTTGCTCAAACAGAAATTACCCTTCACTATCCCCGAGTTGGTCCAAGCTTCTCCCTGTCGCAGCTCTGATGGAGTCCTTTACACCGGTAAGGCTAATCCTCCCATAGAAATGATCTTGTGCCTTTTTTGTTCTGTACTTTTCTTATCAATGAACATGTGCCCGTCGTGTCCCAGTGCGTCTCCTCACCTAATTAAACTGGGTTTATCCGGCTTTAATGGAACATCTTACCGTACCCCTCACCTGCAGTCGGATCCTGTGCTCCTTTGAATTTACAACAGTCCGCAGCAGAGGAAAGTTAATCTACCACAGTGACTGTCTGTGTGTCATTGTTGAAGGGGGAAGCGGCTGACATTTGCCTCCGCACAGTCTTTATCAGCGAGGCTTTTGTTTTCATTCAACCGAAGCTGCAGCTGGAACAAAGCACACTGGAGATGCAAAAGGTCTAAATGTGCTGCTGCCTGGGATTCTCAATCTGCGAATCTGCAGAAAGTTGCAGGAATTACCGAGCCAAACGGTCACTCTTCACACTCTTGATTCTTGTTTTGTGGTTTAGTGTATTCATCTAAAATAATGCATGATTAGTTTATCACTGCTACTCCCTGCAGTGACAATAGAGGTGAGATGCCAGAACAATGAGGCCATGATGGGTTGGTCGTTGACTGTTAGAATGGTAACACCCATGACTGTGATGGTTGAATGGCTGCTTTAATTGTATGGCTTGACTAGACTTGCACTTCTGCAGCAGGTATTGATCAATTAAGACATTTCCTTTTAAGCTGACACTTCCTGATTTAAAATTTGGTGTTTGCACATCCAACTACCTCATGAAGTAGGTTTGAGGGCGACAAACTACCACTTGAAAAGAAAGAACCTGCCACACTACTCTTGCTAAGTGTCACCAATTTATTAGAAAAAAATGGTTTCGGTCCATTTTGAGTAGTATGGAGGATGTTTTCTTCCTGAAAAAATAAAATCACACATTTGGCAAAGTGATGTAGCCGATCTTCAAACTCTGTTGGTAAAAAGAAATTCTACAAAAAACTGACATATTTTAAGTATTTGAATAAATAAAAGCATATTCCAAGATGCACTGATTTTTTTACGAAACTAAATATATCTGCTGCTTCATCAAAAAATGCTGAATGCTGTGTTCATGGCACAGGTAAATCTAAAGTGTGAGTGTGTTTGTGTTCAGGTAAGAAGCAGGACTCGTGGTACGTGGTGGACCTGTTGACCGGGGAGAAACAACAGACCCTGACTTCCTCCTTTGCTGAGATGCTGTGTCCCTCTTCCTCTCTGCTCTACCTGGGGCGCACAGGTAAACATGAAACCAATCCAACAACACAAACTCAGCTTTTTGTCTGTTGTAGACAGAACTCTTTTTTACCTGGATCTGATTTTTGGATGTTTTTTTTTCTTCTTCAATTTCAATCTGTTTATAAATTCATCTGACGGCTTTGTCAGAGCAAAAAGTCCTTGAACCAAAAGTTCAGTCTTTTCTACAATTAGCAGGATGATGATTCATAATTGATTTTTTAAATGCAAATAACTTCCCTACCTATGAGACAACCCATGACGAAAGAAAAAAAATGTAGCTGAGTCATAAGCCCATTTTACATGACAAAGCAGGCCCTTTTACAGCCCTGCTATGTAAAGCCGTCAATGCAAATCTCACTGAGGCGAAATGATTGGACGCAGTCGTTCTTCCACTGATTCACCGTTGAAGGTAGTAGCAGAGGCACAATTAGAAGCAAAAAACACCACATGCATCTTGTACGAACACAACCCCGTAACTCTATGTGAAATGATACACTTGGACATCAATATTACGTCATTGCAGAGTCAATATAAAATGCCTTGGGGCAATGACGGCAGAGCTACATTAAGGCACTGTAAAAAAAGGGCTAAAACAAATATCCAATGTTTCCCCCTTCTATTCATCTGGAGTGGCGGCCCCCCCTCTGTACTATTATCAGAGCCCTCTGTCCTGCTTGCAAGCACATGGCGACAGTAGCTCAGTCTGTTGGTACTTGGTTTGGGAACCCGAGGGTCGGCAGGTCAAGGCCCGGTGTGGAACAATATTGGAAGTTAGTCTGGTTCGGGTCACTTCCTGAGTGCTGCCAAGGCGCCCTTGATTATACCCCCATTCAGCCAGGATGAACACATCTTCAGACTGCTCTTAAAGGATGAAGATGTTTAAAGAACAGTTCCCCAACCAGTTGTATTCTCGTCAGATTATCGATGCAGCCCATCCCACTCAGCTCTTGATTTAATCTAGCTAATTAACCGCCCTATTTGTCTCGCATGCTCTTACTCCAAACTGTTGGCAAACCTTTATTTACTTTCTAATCATCTCCTCTGCCATCCCCCCCCCCCTGCAGTGCTTGAGGCTATAGAAACCAGGATGGTAATTCTAGAGCATGAGAGCCCTGCCAATTGAATACTTTTGAAAACCATTAACTCGGTGTCAAGTCAAACTTTGCTTTGTCACCTCGGAGTGTAACTGCTGGATTAAGTTTCTCCACCTTTTCCCTGCAATGAGTCTCAATTAGGAAGCAGAGGAAACTCAACACCACTTAGCTCTTACTCCCAGAAATGGATCCTCTCTGGGCTTGTTGTTGTGTGTTACATAAGGATAGAAAGCAAAACAAATGTGTTAAAAAAAACAGCTTTGTCTTCTGTCCCTGTTAGAGTATACCATCACCATGTACGACACAAAGAGCAGAGAGTTGCGCTGGAATGCCACCTACTCTGACTACGCCTCCACCCTCCCCGACGATGACACCAAATACAGTAAGACTCTTGAAGACACTGGCTCTTTACTTTTTGTTAAGTTGCTAAAAGACGTTGCTGATCATTTGTCGGTCGTTTGGCTCCTCGCAGAGATGGCTCACTTCGTGTCCAACGGCGACGGCCTGGTGGTGACTGTGGACAGCGAAACGGGAGACGTTCAGTGGGTGCAGAACTACAACTCTCCCGTGGTGGCCATGTACATCTGGCAGCGCGAGGGCCTCCGCAAAGTTGCGCACACCAACGTGGCCGTGGAAACCCTGCGCTATCTCACTTTCATGTCTGGAGAGGTTGGCCGCATCACGCAGTGGAAATACCCTTTCCAAAAGAGAAGAAGCCCAAGAATAAATTCATGTAGGCAGACATGTCTTCTTTTTGCACTTTGACACATGAAATTTTTTTTGAAAATTCCAGGCAGGCTGCCCCTGAAATCTTCCTGAAATTTCTCTTGATTGTTTCCCTTTGCATTCCACTATCAACTCACCCCAACTTCATGTGGAATATTAACTGGGGGGCTGGCAGGAAACATTTCAGATGAAGTAAGGGTGAAAGAGTTGGCCCCACGTGCAGTTTTCAGGAGTTTAGTTTATCTGTGAAAACACCACGGGTCACCTTTTTGTTTTGTCTATTGTCGCTACATTGACAATTCTCCTTTTTTTTGTTTTTGAATCGAGTTTGAATAAAGCATCAGAAAAACCTTCCAAAGAGCGTGTTGCAACCTCCACCATCACATGGGCCGAATTCCTGGAAGGGTGAAATCAAGAAGTACTTTTGTAATATGCGAGGTTGCTTAATGCTGGGATGAAGTCTCAACATGTAACACCAAACTAAAAGGGTGCACAGTGCCAGCCTGGTTTCACCTCTCGTTTCACACCACACAACTCTGTTTATTTTCATACATTTATGTCACAGCTGCTCATGCTGGAATGAACAGACACAAGAAACTGAATGGTCGATCCTCTGTGACAGTTTTGCCTTTTTAAGGAGAATACAAAGAGCTCTGTCTGTTCTGCATGTTGAATTAGTAATGGTTCAAACACTGCAGATCTGTTGTCTTGGTTGTCAGAATATTATTGAGCATGAAATGTGAACCGTGATCTGTATTCCTGAGAGTAAGCAGGCCATAATCTGAAAGTTTTCCATTATTTTCAGGGCCACTCTGTATGTGGGGAAGTACTCCACCAGTCTGTACGCCTCTCCCTCGCTGGTGCACGATGGAGTCACGGTGGTGGTGAGTGACAGTTACATGTGTATCTTCATTTAAGCAAAACACAATCCTTATCATAAACACACGAGCATCAAGCTTGTAGGTTTACCGTTAAAATATGTAAACGTTTTGTATTATTCAAACTGGCCCATCAGTTTATCTTCATGGTTTGTGGTTTCCAGACTTTGTTTGAACACATCCTGTTTTCAGTTTTCAGTGTCAAAGCTTGCCCCATCTAGAGTCACTCATTGTCCTGGTTTCACTGATCACGGCTTTGTTCTGTCCTAAGAAAATCCTTTCTAAGTATATCTGAATTTTCTACTGTTTGTGTGTTTTTTGTGTGTGTGTATGCACAGCCTCGTGGCAGCACCTTCCCCATGCTGGAGGGTCCTGACAGCCAGGAGTCAGAGGAGGACAAGGAGTGTGTCATCACGCCCAGCACAAGTGTCAAGTTTAACGCTGCCCTGCGAGAGAGGAACCGCATCAACTTCATGAGGAACTACCTGCTCCTCATAGGTACTGTATCATAGAGTAATATTTAAGAAAAAAGCCACTCTGAGGAATGTTACCTTTCCTGGTATGTTAATGGAGAGGGGGTCAAGACTTCCACTTCAAGAAGAAGTGGTTATTAGTTTCACAGACTAAAGATGACTTATGGAAAATTAAAATGGTTGTGTCGCTTTATCAAGAAGTTCCCCTCTCAGTACTGTTTGTCACATTTTGAATTTAGGGCCTTTCATGGTCTGCTTTGAGTGACTGATGAAGTAAGATCGCCCTCTGCTGGTTACAATGAATAGTGAAAATAAATGTAACAGCATCATAAAGTGTTTCCTTGCCATTTATAAATCTTTTTTTTTTTAAATCCTGAAAAATGTTGCAACTGAAATCTGTATGTGGTCATTATGTCATCTGACATTAGTCTTCTGCCTGAGGCTGCTGATGTTGAACAAGTAAACTCTTGCATTTCAGGTCATCATGAGACGCCCCCTGAAGCTCACATCAAGATCCTGGAGAAGTTTCCTGACAGCTTCCCTCGCAATCAAGGCAACGTCATCCCACCAACCACCGATAAGAAAGTCGAGGAGGTGTGTGACCCCTGAGATTTTTTTCACATATTAAAACATCCCTACAGGTTTTCTCATCCCCTTCCTCCCGTCCTCTGTTCTTGTTGTAGAAGGTGAATGATAGCGGTATGGATGATGGCCCCCCTTCTCCTCTGCCTGAAACATCTATCGAGGAACCTGGGACCGGTGGTCGACCTTTGCGCCCGGTGGCGCCGGTGGACTCTATGCTCAAAGACATGGCCACCATCATCTTCTCCACTTTCCTGCTGGCTGGCTGGGTGGCCTTTGTGATAACCTACCCCAAAGTAAGTCCAACACCACCACCTAGTGGATGGTTGAGTACCTGCAACTATAGCTTTGTTATAATTCTCTACTGATGGCTGCAGTAGTTGTTTCCTCCTCTCTAGATCCTTGCTTATGTTGTTCTTACTCTCAGATGTACGTCGCTTTGGATTAAAAAAGTCTACTAAATAAATGAGTAAAAGTGTTGTCTCTTCATAAACAGCCAGTTTTGTAATTCTTAAGTCTTGTCTCTCATCACAGAGTGTTCACAAGCAGCAGCAGCTGCAGCACCAGGAGTTCCAGAGACAGATGGAGGAGAGGCTGGAGCTGCTGCAGAGACAGCAGCCGTTCCCCCCTTCAGACCTCGGCCTCGGCTTGGCCCCTGACAGCGACTACCTGGAGGTGGCCCGTACTCGCTCAGAGTGCTCTGATCACAGCAGCCCCAATGTCACCCCTCGCGCCTCCAACCACTCCAACCTGTCGGTGTCTGAGCTGGGAAGCTCTGCAAATGAGCACGAAGATGGAGGTTAGGATTGGGAAATGAAGATAAAGAACTTACAAAACATTCTTTGAATGAGCTCGTTCGTCATTCATTAACAATTTAATCACTGTTTGATATGTCTGAAATTTTGTCTTTGTCCCGTCAGAGGAGGACTCCGGTATAGTCAGAGTGGGCAACATCACGTTTCGTCCCAAAGAGGTCTTGGGTCATGGGGCTGAGGGCACCATCGTGTACAAGTAAGTCTGAAAAAACAGTCAACAATGAACCATGACAAACGTGTGTTTGATTCAACTGCAGAAATAACACCACATTGTGTTTCCATTGTTTCTCCACAAGGGGGCAGTTTGACAACCGTCCAGTGGCCGTGAAGAGGATCCTCCCAGAGTGCTTCAGCTTTGCAGACCGGGAAGTTCAGCTGCTGAGGGAGTCAGACGAACACCCGAACGTCATCCGCTACTTCTGCACGGAGAGGGACCGGCAGTTCCAGTACATCGCCATTGAGCTGTGTGCGGCCTCGCTTCAGGAGGTAATGGACAGCTGATAGGGTCCCCAAGCTCCCTTTTTTCAACCGTAGTCTTTTGTCAATAGCAAGAAGCCTGTTGTAGGCCTCCTCTGATGTAAAGTTATTTTTTGTGTCTATGTGTTTTCATAAAAAGTCAAAAGAGGGAATAACCCTGATACTATTTATTCTCAACCACATATTTCACACTATGTGAGAATGAGACCTCCCTTCATAGTTAATGACTTCTTTCTTCTCTTTAGTATGTGGAGAGGAAGGATTTTGACCGTCATGGACTAGAGCCAGTTATGCTTCTTCAGCAGACCATGTCAGGACTGGCCCACCTGCATTCTCTCAACATTGGTAGGTACCACAGAACAGAACAGAACAACAACACATCTCATTCTCATCGTTATTGGCTGTTTAGTAAAAAAACAAACATATCTATACAACTTGTTCTTCTCCACTCGCCTTCATATTTTTCCCTTCAGTCCACAGAGACCTGAAACCTCACAACATCCTGGTGTCCATGCCCAACGCCCACGGTCGGGTCCGGGCTATGATCTCAGACTTCGGCCTGTGTAAGAAGCTGGCGGTGGGTCGTCACAGTTTCAGCAGACGGTCCGGCGTGCCGGGCACAGAAGGCTGGATCGCCCCCGAAGTTCTCAGTGAGGACTGCAAAGACAACCCGGTGAGTGAGTGGTGGAGAAGCAGCTCACTTCTGGTCCGACTCAAACTGGATTTTTAAAATGCATGTAAACACGCAGGTCAGGTTGAAATGGTACTAAACTGAATTTCTCAAAGTCGGGCTAACACACCTAGATAATGTGTTTGGAGATCGATTCATAGGCGATCTGCGTAGTCTTCAAAGTCCCTCTGCTGGGCTTTGACCCAGAAGTCAAACAGCATAGGTGCTTATCATAGCAGAAGTCGCTTTGTCGTCTGCCTTTGGATATCACCATAAGCTGAAGGGAGAGTGTGTATCACATTTGAACAGAAAGTAAAACATAGAGTGTGATAAGTACAAAATGTTCAGAGCTTTTAAGTTGTCCATGTTTACACAGTTTGAAATACAACCACCTCTTTGCCGTTTATTAACTTCCTAAGTTGTCAACAGGAAGAAGGTCCAATGGTAACTTACTAGCTGAAAGCGGGGCATGTCGCCACCTACTGTATTCTCGTGGTACATGCATACTGGGACATGGACCGTCTTCTATTTAATTGGCTAATGGAGCTTTAACTGCATTAAACATACTGAGTGTAGTGTTTGTGTTAAAGGGGCTCAAAAAGCTTTCAGACCAAAAATTCTCCAGTTCAGATTAAACTAAAAAAACAATACTACTGAATGAAACTTTGTACTTACTTGGTGAAATGTGTTTAATTTCCTGCCACAGTAACCTAGACATGACAGACTTTCCCTCTCTTGTCCCATGCAGACGTGCGCCGTCGACGTCTTCTCTGCTGGTTGTGTGTTCTACTACGTGGTGTCTCAGGGAAGCCACCCGTACGGCAAGTCTTTACAGAGACAAGCAAACATCTTACTGGGCTCACACAACCTGGACCATCTGCAGACTGACAAACACGGTGAGCTCTGGTTTCCTCTGGGAATCCTTTGTTTTAAAAAAAGAAACAGTAATGTTGTTCACTGAGGAGAGGACGGTGTGTGATTTGTTTGGTAAAGCTCTTAGGATGTTTGTGTATGGGCTAAATAAAATGAATTTATTTTGGGCACACGTTCTAAAGCTGTATGTTTTTGTGTTATGATCAGGGGACATTGTAGCCAAAGATCTCATAGAGCAGATGTTGAGCATGGAGCCACAGAGGAGACCTGCAGCTGAGAGCGTTCTCAAACACCCTTTCTTCTGGAGCCTGGAGAAGGAGCTGCAGTTCTTTCAGGTTAGTTTTTAATATTAAAGAGTCAAACAGTCCCCTGTGGTCTAAATGAAACATCTGTGCTGTGCTTTGGTCAAAATATAACATGAAGCACCAGAGGAGGTTTGTGACCCTGTATAAACCAGCTCTCTCAGAACGCTCCGTTTTGGTGTGTGTGTCTCTTTAAATGCAATGAGCCTTAGTGCCTATTCATTTGTATGGACTGACTCCTTTTAGGCTGTCCCTGATGTTTTCAACCTCTTCTTACTAAAATCACACTGTAGTACAATATAGTGACCAGTGTCTGAATACACTCATGTGCTGTTTTGTACAGATTTTAACTTAAGCTACTATACATGTCTCTAGGATGTCCAAAAACAACCCCATGAATTCATTAAAGTGATTTATGAAGGTGAAGAACTTTTGTCAACAAAACAACAGTATTACAAATGTGTCAGTGATCACCAAATTCTAGAAATGGTCAGAGTGTGATCAAGACTTTTGTCGAACGACTGGAAAGTCTCTAAAATAATCTTTTGTTGGTTGCTTGCAGGATGTGAGTGACAGAATAGAAAAGGAGCCGCTGGACGGACCAATCGTGAGACAGCTGGAGAGAGGAGGGAGGGCTGTTGTGAAGAGTGACTGGAGGGAGCATATCACAGTGCCACTGCAGACAGGTACGAGACCGAGGCTGAAGTTTGCACGTGAAGATACAAGACGTTGTAAAACATTCTTCTTGGTCTCTTTACATGAAACAGGAAAACAAAATCCTCTCTTTCCTCTCTTTGTGCCCTGACTGAGTGTGTGGGTTCTTGAGAAACAGTGTAGCATTAAAGAAGCTTAGCTCTGTTTTTCAGGTGTCCCTGTTCATTGGTTTCTAGTTGAATGATTATCAGGTATTCATTTCTGTGGTTGATGTATTGAGTTTTGTCTTCCTTTCTTCTGCAGATCTGCGGAAGTTCCGTTCCTATAAAGGTGGATCGGTCAGAGACCTGATGCGTGCAATGAGAAACAAGGTAGGGATGTATTTTCATGTTTTGTCTTTGAAAGAATGCGGTCTGTGAAGTTTGCCTCACTGTGACTCTCCCTCTACAGAAACACCATTACAGAGAGTTGCCTGCAGAGGTACAAGAGACTCTGGGCTCCATCCCTGATGACTTTGTCTCTTACTTCACCTCCCGATTCCCCCACCTGCTCATGCACACCTACCTGGCCATGCGGACATGTGCATCAGAGAGGCCGTTCCTGCCTTACTACTCCACTGCTGAGCAGAATGCAAAAACACAAGCCGAATACACACACCTCAGACCACAGAGACAAAATGAGCCGTGCACTCAACACCTGCCAACACACACATCATCAAACGCCTCACAACCACAGGAACCTGCACATTCTCTACAGCAGGTGCAGGTCGATCACACGGTAACAAATGGACCATCGCCCTCTTCATTACCAGATGAGCCGGTATCTTCAGATTTAGCAGTTCAGACAGTGCAGCCAGCAGAGTTAACACTTTCCACACACGTGGACTCACACAGTCAAACGGTGAATCTCACATCTGCCTCAGAATCAGCTACAGATCCTCTCAGGCAGTCTGAGTTGCACACACTGCCAGATCCTTCCTCACCGGACACACAACCAGTGTGAACTGGACCAGAGTCAGGTGGACCCAGCACAGACGGGAGCATTGCCAGTAAGGGTGGACATCAAATGGGGCCAAGCTGCTGCACTTGAAGCTGGTGAGGACCGGGCCTGCAGTGCCTGGGATCCACTGCCGGGTGGGAGCAGCTGCACCCTCTTTTAAGTGCCTTCTGCTCACCTGGGCGATAAATGTTCCCACGACACAACCGTCCACAAGTTCTGCTTCTGCCTCGGGAAGTCTGAAAAACCAACAGGGTGTTGTTGGATATCATATTGTAGCAGGACGGAGAAAAGAGAATTTTTTGTATTTTATAACAGCATGTCCAAAAAAGTGTTTGTCCCTAAAATATTTGGCCTCTAATGTGGGAAACATGTCTGGATGTTGTTGGGTAGTTTTATTGTGCAATGTTGTATTTCTCAGTGAGCCTGTTCACTGTGCAGATGCTGTATGTATATTTTTGTACAGACTGATTCACAATTTGGATCTGCGATGTTAAATCCATTAATACGGCCGATGTGCCTTCTTTCTTTTTCTTTTTTAAACATCACTGTGCTGCATGGGTACAGATCTTTAAGAATGACTATGCTAAATGTGCTTGATTCCAGTTAATGCTGCTAGATTGCTTCGCTTGTGTCAATCAGGATTATTGTGCTGACTCGGTAAGAGCGGACGGTTCCAAAGGGTGTTCACTGTGACACCTGAATACAGAAGTTTTCTTATGATCATGTGATTATGTGGTCTGATTACAAACTTGCAGGTCGGCTGCAGAACGTTTATGTACAAAGACTTTTTTAAGAGCGTTTACATGAAGTTAATAACTTGCACATTAAAATCTTTTTTTTTTATTCCTACATTTTTGCTCGTGGAGTCATTGCTTCATTTCAGTGTAAGGATTGCTTGAAGGTTGAATATTTAACAGAAGTCATTGGGTCAAAAAGGCTTCTTACAATTTATATTGTTAATGTCTAAAAAAAAACCCGGACATATCAGGATTTAGAGCAATGAATACAATGTATTCTGATGAAGTTAAGCCAGAGACAATAGAGAGAGAGCACCAGGACATCATAAGAAATATCCTGCAGATAAGAATCAAATTGATTTTGTCTCCCTTTCCAATCAGTACAGAGGTTTCTGTTCAACATGTCTTGGCTCAAAGGCGGAAACGGGAGCCAAAAAGAGATTCCTGTACCTGGTAAGAATGTCACGTGTCCTCCCTGTGAGGGCTATAAAAGGAAAAGGTGACAAAAAATTCCATTGGCTCATGACAGTACGTCACCTGGTGCTGTTTTGTTTATACAGTACCTGATTAAATGTCCTTCCTTGCTGAATGTTAGGGTGTGGCTTGAAAATGTTATTTTGGCTTATACAATGATTCAGAGGTGTTTCAGTGGTTGATTTGCCACAGTTTAGAGCAGCTTTGTTTTTCTTTGACATGTTCTCACGTCAGGGACTTAAGCTTTCATACATTTATATTCTCTCTTTAGTCCACACAAAAAAAAGGAACATGTATCTGGATACTAAACAAATACTAAAGCTACATTGAACAACAGTGAAAGCAGGACGGAAAGGAAAATAAAAAAAGTAGCTCATCTAGATTTCTCCTCTGCCTCTTCTTCCTTCAGGTCTACTTCATATCCAAAGCTCTGTGGTTTCCCCTTCCTGTTTCATTCTGCGTTCATGTTCACTTATTGTGGGTTTATTTTACCAAAGCCCATAGAAACATAGTTCTCTGGAGCACAGATGGACCTTCATCAAGGACTATAAGTTACATGTTAAACCATATACTATATTATAGTAGTGAGGCATGTATATACTTTTCTTTTGGATTATTTGATTGAAAACTGGAGTTTAAATTATGGTGGGAGAAAAGTTGAAATGTTTGATTTGATTGCACAAAAATAATAGAAGTGAGCACCTCAACAAATACAAGTTCAATACACATGTGGACAAGTGTATATTACATTAATAACATTAATGTTTTATACCAAACACAGGGTTATTATGGGAATTATACAGTTCAGTATAAAAACGAACAAACAAATTACTGTAAGTAAAATATATTCATTTAAATCATAGGTCAAAGCATGACTTCATTTGGCCGATTGAATAAAATCAAATATAGACCGATTAAAGAGCCAATAGGAGACTGTAGAGCCGACCCTTATTATTCATGAGCTGTGCCAAATGATTTAGATCACTAAACATGGCAGAGATTGCAATAAGGGCGGTGCACATGAGGGTAGGTCGATGAATTTCCCCAAAATCGAAACTTAAGACACTGAGTTTGCACAGTAGGTCCAGTCAAACCTGGTGACAGGCAGAACTATCCGGTGTTCAGAGTTTAGGCGGGGAAGCAGAAAAAACAGCAGCCCGACGTCCAGTGCTTCTCTTCGGTAGCGGCAGAACAATTTGACTCTTCATAAAAGAAAACCAACCCGGTGTGGACAAGGCTGTTTATGTGTCTGCTTTTTGTCAAGGTAGGAGCAATGTTTGCCTTTTTTTTGCTCATAAGAAAATCGCAGGGACATAACAGGAATGAAGGAAGTAGGGAGTATGATACACCTGGGCCGAGAATGGAGAGAGGACCCTCGAAACCAAAGAAAGTTTGGTTTTCTTTGCATCATGTTTTACATCCTAGTGATTATGGGCTGAATTTTGCATGCAGAAAAATAACAACTGGTTCTCTTAGTCAACTTTCCCTCCTCACTACAAGAGAACTACTGTTTTAGTCCGACTATCAGCAAACCAAGAAAAACAAGAAATAAGAATTAATACAATTTTAAGAACATTTTGATAGTTAAGATAGTTTGGGAAACTGCGTCTCTATCTTTCCCATTTAGAGTATAAATAACTTACTCAATTTTTTAAGAAGTGGTCTAAACTAACTCTGTTGAAACTAACTATAGCAAAGTAAAAATGAGTCACCATCAAAGCAAAAATGTCTTAATAATTCATGAAACTATCAAGCTTATCATCACATTCCCTCTGTTTCAGACACAGGGTGCGGCAGCAGATGGTTCCTTATCAACTAAAGACACTACTGCTGAGGATGTGAGGTAAGATACATTTATAAACTGGCTACTAAAAGTTATATCTCATCCAACCAGCTTAAAAACATCATACAGTAGTTATAGGCTTTAATCGATGTGATAAAGGTCAACATAGCTTTGACCTGGATGAACACTTTTATAGCCAAACGCAGTTTAGGCCTACTAATGCCACTGATTTTTATTATTCCTGTAGATTTCTTCAAATTGCAAATATGAACCCTGTCCAGGCTAAATGTACATCGTCATTCTGGGTTAACACGAGTGGACTTAAAGGGATACTTCACCCGTTGAAACATGAATCTTTATTGACATTGGGTCATGTAGTAGAAATGTGAAATACATTTTGAAGTTGGAGCCTTCTTGGCCGAGAAAAGGCAGAAAGTGTCTTTTTGGCTCATGTGGATGAAAGACACCAAATCCCAGAATGCAAAGCACTGCAGGCCACTCCCACTAAGATCCTCTAGTTCAGAATCAGAAATACTTTATTAATCCCAGAGGGAAATTCGATCGTTACAGTTTCTCCAAAATATACAGTATAGTAGTAGAAATATAGTAATAAAAACATTTACAGACATATTTACTTCAACACATAAGGCCGTTTCCTCAACTGATTCAGTAGGAATTGGTATCTTGGAAATTCCTGGCAGAAAACAGACTCTATGTCTGTGTCCATAGGCAAACAGTGAGAGCACCGACACAACCAGTTCGTCCCAGGTCGAGCCGACCCGGGCTCCTCGTCCTCACCGCCAGGCTGGTCTTGTGTCCTGTGAGCGGTCAGGAGCGCCCCCGGCGGGCAGTGGCCGCAGCAGCCAAAACACAAGACCGGCCTGTCGGCAGCAGCCATCTCGCCGCTATATTTATATTTTCGCCATTATGAGCTTTCTCCATAGAGCCTGTTAGCATAGCTTCCAAGCAATATGGCGGACGTTAAGTTTTGATTCTGGGAGTGAACTCCCACCCACTGATCTGTGATTGGTCTGTAGCTTCAGTGGTCGAAAATATGAGGAACTAGCGTTGTAGTTTCACCCTGCTAACCGCAACAGCTTCCAGTGACGCAAAAATCGTCATTTTGCGTCACTGGAAGCTCCTTTTCAGACTCAGAAATACAAAGATTTCCCATCTCAGGGGAAAATGAGGGAGGGATGCACGACCATTAAAAAATACTACCATGTTTCTAATGATACAAAGCTTAATGCAAATGGGTGAAGTATCCCTTTAAACTAAACTACATAGACAACACCGATGTCTTAAAGTTTGAAAATAGTGGATTAATGCCTGTTGAGACTTCATACTAATATGTTTTACATTAATGTTAAGTGCATTTACTCTACATGTCACATTCAGACACTGATGCCAGAGGATGTTTTGTAAAGTGACGGACCATAGGCATAAACTAATTACATTCACACATCACTGGATAAGTCACCTGACAGTGATTTAGAATCCAGTGTCAGGTGTGTCAAAAACCATTGATAAGTGGACTGCAGAAGCAAGGATCGAACCACCTACATCCTGGTTGAGAGATGATCAATAGTACCATTAAGCCACAGCCAGGCACTCAAAATCCATTAATCCCCAAATTTAAAGCATCCTATAGAAATGTTTTGTACATTAGGCTTTTTTAAAAAGAAAAATTATTTAAAAAATGTACAATAAATTTCAGCCAACATATTTGTCATGCCAAAATTTTGATTTCCATAAAGTCCTCTAAAATGTTAAATCACTTGGGCTGTAATCTTGAGTAGTGTTGATGATTTGATTGATTGAAATGTTTTTTGCATTGAACTAAGATTGAGTGACTCAGTGAAATGTCTGTACCAGGATGTTTGAAGCGTTCTGTAATTAAAATTGGTTAAAAATACTAGTCAGTCCCTCCAGGAAGTTGCGATGTTGCGATCGCAACAATTAACGCAAATTCAACCAATCCCTGCAAATTCTGGACGACCTTGCAATTTTGTCCAATCACCGCAACTTTTCTGCAAACTTTACCGCAAAACACACCAGGAGAATGACTGAAACGCGCGGACAACATACAAGACATACAAGTTAAATAAATGCGAAACAAACGGTGTGTGTGTGCACGCTCATGCGTGTGTGCGTTCGTGTATTCTTGAAAGTAGTTAGGAATACAACGTCGTAAAATGTTTAAAGTGGTTTAAAAGCTGAAGGCAACATATTAATTTGGATGTGTAATGAAATCAGATGAAGAGTGTGAGTAAGTGTGTGTGTGTGTGTGTGTGTGTGTGTGTGTGTGCGTGTGTGTGTGCGTGAAAGAGAGAGAGACATCACTGAGTGAGGCAGAGGCATCACTCAATCACATCGAAGTGTGTGTAAGAAAATAGTTTAATAATAAAAAACTAGATTTTTTTTACATTAAAATAATCGCAACTAGTGTCGCAATTTTCGCTTCCTGCCGCAATTTAATTGCAAAAAAACGTCTAAAAACATCGCAAACTTGCATTGCAATTTTCTTGAAAAGCTACCGCGAAATCAGTCATTTTAGGCCGCAACAATCCCCCAAAAAGTCTGTGAAATCCTGGAGGGACTGACTAGTGAACCAGTTTCACCAAAATCTGTCTTATTCCATGTGTATATTTATCTATATCAATTTATTTGTCAGAGATATAGGCATTGTTACACATCGGATTAAAGTGCAACCGATGCAATGTATATACTTAGGACTTCTAGCCATGGCTAATTTGCCATCCTTGTTCCTGGTTAGGCTTTTAGGAAATAACCCAATAAAATGTAAAATAGACATTACATCAGACATACATGGGCAGCAACATAGATGCATAAAAAC